ATCAAAAGTCATATACTTTTTTTTCCTTTTCATACACTACATGTTACTTTTTGAGAGCATTTCAGTAAATCCACCATATACTGAATGATCATAACTTAACTCGATTGATCAGAACTCCACAGTAATTAATATTTCTGCTTCAAATAATCAACCTGCAACTATTTGATCGATCACTAATAATAGTGATCAATCAAATTCATTATGTTTAAAAACCCTATTTCTTGTGCTATCAAATTTAATAACCGTTCGATCAAATTCCTTGTCATTGTGGATTTACCTTTCAGTTTTGTAAAACTATGCATACATCTTGTAATATTTACCCTTGTATTAGTAAAATTTACCTACTAACTAGTAACTTGGTCCACTAATATCTTATTTTTATCCTACAATATAGTATATTTACCTATAAATGTTGTAACTTTCCCTCATTTGTCGTAAATTTAACCATAATATTTTTAATTTAACCGATACTATTGTAAAGTCATCATTTACTTCGTAATTTTCTCCACTAATGTTGTTATTAACTAAACTACTCATAATTACCTTCTAAACTATTACAATTCTTGTAATCTTGTCCTGAAAAGTGGTATACATGCATACCCTTAATTATGGCCACTCATTCTAAATTATGATAACTTTTCCCACAAATCTTGTAATTGCTATTCCAACCATTGTAAATTTCCATCCTTAAGTATACAGTTGTTGTTGTTAATTACCCATTTCTATTGTAAATATACCATTAGATTTGTAATTGTCCCCATTACTATTGTACATTTCCCACTGATGTAATAAATATACCATTAGCTTTGTAATTGTTTCCACTACTATTGTAAATCTCCCACTCCTGCTGTAATTTTGGACAATGTAAAAAAGCAACCGGTGAAACCGGTTGTCCTCCCTTTACTTTTACACATGACACATTCTGCATCATTCTGACGCCTTTTTGAATTCTTTTGCGGAAACATCTTTTCGGTATGGTACCGAAAAGATTGTTGATTGTACCCTAGCAAGCTCCATAGTATAGGGGAAGGGTAATTCAAACTAGGAACCTCCACGTTATAAGTAGGGTTACTCACTCACTGAGATAGGACCGATATCCTAATTAGTACCCAATTAATTTAAAACAAAGAAGTATACACAGGAATTGATAATACTTTTTTAAAGAGGATTTCACATTGTAACAAGTGAAACTATTTTGTTTCCTTCTTTAGTGCTCAAACCATCCCACCTAATTTTTTGGAACCTGGCTCTGGATGTCATTGCATTTCATTTAGGAAAAAATATTCATAAAATAAAATGACCACTGAAGCATGTTAGTTATTAGCCATACTGCACCATTTTTTTCCTCGTAAAAAAAGATATATGGTGTGAGTAGACGTGAAATTTCTTTCAAGATGTGATCATAACAATTCTTACCTGCTAAAAAACTTTCTACAAAGGCCCAAACGGAGAATTCCAAGCTTTCCTTAAGGATGACATGAACTATTATTGGACCCCAACCCCCGAACAATTTATTCTCTGTAAATCGAATCTGAAAGATAATTTTTACAGGCCTTAAACAACTTTAAATGAAGGCGTTACCACTAGACCATGAATTATTTGCTATACTCTTCGTAAAAACAAATTGCCTCTTAGACTTTTGAAATTCAAGAAACTGAACCATATAAATATCATGTCAAAATTAATCATTGTTGATTTTGATATGAGTAATTTATAATTATTAATTAAATAATGATAAAATAATTTAAAAGTAATTTAATTAAATAAAAAATAGAAATTCAATATTACACTTTTTTATTAAAATGAAAAATAAAAATGCCTGAATTTTACTCGCGTAATGGGTAAGGTAATCATAGGTTAAAAAATAATAAAATAACAAAAAAATTTATTTTTTGTGAGGTAACTGGACTCTAGGGTTATTAATTTTAAAAAGTCTTAATATGAATTTGATTAATCATATAATTTGACCTAAATACCTTAGTATTGATGTTTGTCCCAAAATTAAGTTAGGAGCTATTTTTTAAATTTTTTTAGCTTTTAATTATAATAAATATATTTTTTTCTTTAGATTAATTTAATATAAATTTAGAAATATATATATTTTTAAACAATTAAAAAATTAAAAAAAAATTAAACAATTAAAACAATTAAATTCTTTAGAATAATTTAAACAATTAAAAAAATTTCATATAACTTTCCTTTCTTTCAAGCAATAGAATAATTTTTTTTTAAAAATTTGTTGTAAGTTTTTCATATAAATTAAATATATGTATAAAAATATATATATTTTTTATTTTTAGGATAAATTACAACTATACCCCCTAAGGTTTGTCATTTAATCACATAAACCCCCTCAGGTATGAAAAATAACATCGCGATCCCTCAAGGTTTGGTCATGTGTAACACATAATCCCAATTCGTTAATGTCCGCTTTGGTCATGTCATCATACCTTCTTCATTAAATTCCCAAACTTCTCATATCTCACTAAAAATAAAAAACCCAAAACTATTTAATCCCTTTAAAAACCCAACAAATTAAATACCATATTCTCTCTTACACCACCATCACTACACAGAACCACAACACCCATCTGCCTCCACTGTTGCACAAAACCACACCACCATCTATCTCCTTTAGTCTCAAAATCATGCAACAAACCCTAATTGATGTTGTATTAAGTCTGAGACAAGAGGTAATTGTGAGACGGGTGAATCGAGGCTTGTTTGTGTTATGGGTGGAGCTATGGAGGAGAAAGGGGTGGGTACAAGGTGATGCAGTGTGGAAAGAGGAGAAAGGCAAAGAAGGGGTGGTGGGTGGGGAGAGAGAGAGAGAGAGAAGGGGGAGCGTTATGGTGAGGGGGTCTGCATAGGAGGGGAGTTTAGGAAGGGTCTGCGCAGGAGGGAATTTTTGGGGGGAAGTAGGTTTACGTGCGTGTGTGTGTGAGAGATTGAGAGAGAGGGGGGTTATAGCGAAGGAGTAATATGTGTAAGCAAGGAGTTTTGGGGGATGTGGGTTTGCTTATGTGTGTGACAAATAGAGAGAAAGAGAGAAAGAGAGAGAGAGAGACAGAGAAAAGAGGGTTACAAGAAGGGAGTTTGTGGGTGGGAGGACTAGAAAAAAATAGGTATTCGTCCAAATCTATCGCGTTTGGACCGGGCATATACTATAATATTGGACGGTGGACGTATAGGGAGATACCCGTATAAATCAATGCGGGGATGGACTGACACTTATATATATATATATATATATATATATATATATATATATATATATATATATATATATATATATATATATATATATATATATATATATATATATATATAATTAGTCCAAAATGTAAAACTAATTTTTTGGTGTCTTTTTGTTTGAATGTTGGGGCACATTGTGTGTATTTTGTTAGTTTTATAATTAATGATAGTGTTCAGATCTAACATGGTCTATTTAAGTTATACATAAGAGCATATAGAAGTCGGTGACCATGAACTCCCCTCAAATCTCAATTGTATGACAATATTGATTGTGTAGGCTTATGCTTATTGGAAAAATTGAAGTGCTACACTCCATTTTGTATATAATCAATTTATGGCTAATTTGTGCCTAATTAATTGTTTTAGTAACTTCTATCAAAATGGTGTGAATTGCTGATGAGTTTTTGGCACGACAAAATCACATTGTACAAGTTTGTTAGAATGCTTATATTAGCGGTTTGAAATTTCACCAATAGTGAATGTTTACTTATTAGTATGAGGAAATGTGTTTCATCATGGAGTTGGGCTTGATATTTTCTCTCAGACCTAACCCTTCGGGGAATTTTGGCCATGAAATTGTCTATTCTCTTACACATGAGTTAATAGTTTCTGTTTCTTTTAAAATGATATTGCTTAATTGATAATTCCTTACTGTAAATAAGTGAATTATTAGCATCATTGATGATGCACAAATTGATTTTATGCACCACCGATCAAGTGATCAGTAATTAATGCAGTAATTAAATAAAGAGAGAGACTAACTTAAGCAAACCAAAGATGTAGAGTGGTTCGGTTAACATGACCTACGTCCACTATGAAAGGCTAAGGTGGCCTGTGTATTTTATTACTTCGAGGAGTGTAGGGAGAGCAGAGAGATACGAGCAATGAGAGAGAGATGAAAGTGATAGTAGATGTGCTCAATTGTGTGTGATGCCCCCAAGTATTGGCGGGGCTTACAATTTATAGTCGCCTCTTCACAGATTGAGACGACTTATCAGTAACTAAGAGGCTAATTTGGTAGAGGTGGTGTCATCTTTGCAACGGATGAGGCTGTTGCAGGGCTCTCCTCAAGATCAGATTAGAGATGACATAGTGGTTTACTTTTTCTAAGGCAACGTGGATGAGGCTCTCAGGATGACCCCGCCTCTCTTTATGATGTAACTCTCTGAACCCTAATGAGCTTGATTAGGCATGGACCTCATTTTTGGACTAGATGCATCAGATCATTTCAAGTTAGGCTCTTAATTTATACTAGATTTATAACGTGAGTTAGGGCCTTGGGCCTGACCCATCATTTGCCCTCCAATGCCTTGTTTCCAATGTAACTTGGAGAAGAGGGCATTTGATTGAACTTGGATTTCAGCTGATGAAGACTCCTTTTGACTAATGACTCTTTTCCTTCCTGATATATAAACTCTTTTTTCTTGTAGGGCATCTCTAGACTTCCCTCATTTTTTTATTCTAGAAGAACCCTTGGTTATAAATAGGAACTTTTTCCCTTTTTTTCCATTCCATGCAAATTTGAGAGAGAGAGAGCTCTTTTGTGAGATTCTTCAAGAACAAAGGCAAGATGTGAGATTCTTGAGTTGAGCATTTAGAGGGCAATGTCGATTAAAGGGGAAGATGTGCAGGAGTTCATGAATCTTGGTGAGGAACTTGGAGAGATCGGTGTTATCCCAAGAACTTGGGCGAAATCCCTTGTAATAAGGGAGTGTTTGATGTCGAGGCAAGGAGTGAGAGGAGAGATGGAGGCGAGGAGAACAAAGGCAAGGTGCCATGGGCACCGCCAGACATAGCGACCTAGGTCGCCAAGATCAAAGCACCATGGGCGTCGTTTAGTGTGGCGACCCAGGGGCACTGATCCGTGGCTGAACTGACCATGGAGGGAGTGCCGAAGATAAGGCATGAATCAGTGAGGCTGAGGCTCTAGGGGTCGACACCAAGGGCGATGCTCCATGGGTGTTGTGCACTGGCGAGTGGGTAGAGGAAGCTGATATCGAGGCACCGCTAGTGACTGACACTGAAGGTAAGGCAACGCTAACACTGGGTGAGATATGGTCGGTGACGAGCGCTGATTATGGAGCAGGACTGGGACTCTAGTGCACTGAGCAAGGATTGGTGAATGCTAATATGGCCCCGAGAGACACTGGGCTTGGCTAGGTAAATGCGCAGTAGCGCTGAGGGCCACTAGGCACAGTTAGGCAATGTTGTGTATAGCAGGGTCGTCATCGTTGGGTGAGTCAGGTGTGGTGGAGGTAGACACCAGGCATGGATCTTCACAAGCAGAGAGTTCATCGGGTATTCTGGGTGGCACTGATTCTGATCAAATGATGGGTAATATGGTCCGCTCAGGTGGGACTCCACGGAGTCAAATACCTCAAAGCTCTCCTAGTAGTGGCACGGACGATGCTTCTTGCCCTCGCAATAGCAAACATCGGGGAAATGTAGCTCTTAATGATGTCGGATCAAAAGTGAGTACCATTTCTAGTACTCTTAACACTAACTCTGATATTCTGCAGATTGTTTCCACTTATAATATTTTCCCAACGGTACTGTTTCATCAAGCCGAGATGGGTGAGCCTACTTGAGATGACTCCTTTAGAGACATCGCTATCTATGAGGAGGTGCTTGAGGCTGGCTGAGGTTCCCAATGCCTCCCTCTGTTTGTCGCATTCTACATTAGCGCCAAAGCGGTTGGCGCCCAATGGTTAGAGATTTTTGCTAGGGTTTCTAGCACTATAGAGAAAGGTGCATCATGAGGATACTTCTCTTAAAGAGTTTTGTGCAACTTATACTCTAAGTGAGACTTCTCCCAATTGTGGTTGGTATTACTTTGCTCCGAGATAAGGTAAATTGATTACTGGATTGCGCACTAACTGCCATAATTGGAAGGCTCGCTTCATGTTTGGTAGAAAAGAGTAGACTTTAGAGGCTAACAAAGCTTTGGTACCAACAAAATGGGACACTCCCAAGAGAATTGGTACGCCCATTCTTATCATTTTTCCTTCTCCTTTTTTGCAAATGTGTACTTATCACATCCCTTCTAGGTTCTTCAGTGCTCTTGAAAGTTCAAGAATAGAAGTTACAAACAATGAGGGCTCAGCATGTGAACAACTTTGGGGCTCTCATTTCAAAAAGGGTGGAGCTAGAGACTTTCCCACAAGTAGTGTTAGGGTTAGTGTACCCTCTCCGAGGCCTGGTGGTTCCTCCTTGAAGAGAAAAGGTATGTTGATTCTCTTATATTCTCCTCAATTACTTGGTTTTCATCAGGATTATACTTTTATCCTTCTGCAGTGGACAAGACAATGGTGGAGTCCTGTTATTCCCCTAGGAGTACTCCTCATCCTAAGTGGTGTGGGTGAGTGATGCTTTAGTGAGCCCCTGGCGCCTCCTTAGTTAGCAACTCCTTTAGAGGTGACCGTCACTCCAGAGACTCCCCTGTCGGCTACATCTTTTGCCCCCCGTTCATCGACTCCTTTTGTAGGGACTTCTACAGGAGCACCTGCTCAAACTGGCTCCATGTTGGGTAATGTACAAATCTCTAAGGAACAATTTAAGAGGTTTGTGTTTCCAGCAGAAATTAATGAGGTTAGTGCTCAGGGCACTGAGGGTGTCATCGACACTGTTATGGAAGGTTTGGCTCAGGTAAGAGTCTGCTTTCTTCTTTTCTCTAGTTTCTCCTTAGGTACTAACATTCTTTCGTCTTCCTCAGGTTTTAGCTGCATTTGTGTGTCTCTTTTCAAGGGCTATTCATTTTAGCCAGCTGAAGCAGAGTCATGAGGCTATGCAGAAGGAGCTTCTTACTGCTCAAGGGAGGATTACTGAGCTTGAAACTGATGGTAAGGCTTCCCAGACTGAGCTTGTGGTGACCCATGAGAGGGCAGCGCTTAGTGAGGCTGCTTGCACCAGGGCTAAAGCAAAGCTTGGGTGACTCGCGAGAAAGTGGCTGAGCTTATAGCGACCCATGAGAGGGTCATGTTCAAAGAGGCTGCCCACTTGAGAGCGGAGGCAAAGGTGAAGGCAGCTCGTGAAAGGGTTTCTCGGGCTGAGGTGGATCTGCTATTGGCTCGTGAGAGGTCCGTTAAGGCTGAGGCTGATTTAGAGAGTGGCCTTGCAGATGACTTCATTGATGGCTACGAAGAGCTTCGAGGAAAGATTTCTGTTATTTTTCTTGATATTGACCTTTCAAGCTTTGTGCCATATGAGGCGCCTGATGATGTTGATTGTGATGATGACTCTGATGGTGCAGAAGGTGAGGAGGATGACGGCCATGAGAGTAGTTAGAGGGATGGAGAACTTTTTATTTTTATTGTTTTTGTAGAAAGGCAATGTGTAGCCTCCTTTTGTAAAAGTGATTTTTTGCCACTTATGTTCTTTTGAAATAGAATGCAAGAATGCAAAGAACTTTTGAGGTAAATTTAGAAAATTTTATTCGATGACTGCTTATGCTAAGCAATAATGGGTAATAACCCAAAAAGGGTACAAGAAATGAAATCAAGTTCCCCAACTTTACTACTTCTACTCTCCTAAGGTGTCTTTGGCAGTACCTTTTCAGATGATCATCATTCCAAAGGTGGGGTAAGACCTTTCCTTCAGAATTCTAGATCCTATAAGTGTCTTGCCTCACTACTTCTATTATGAGGTAGGGTCCTTCCCAGTTTGGTCCAAGTTTTTCTTCTTGCGGATCCTTCATGGCGAGAATCACTTTCTTGAGGACCAAGTCTCCTGATTGGAAGGAACAAGGCTTCACCCTCGAGTTGTACTATCTTGTCATACGGCACTTGTACTCCCTTGTTAGTGATGGGGTTGTGGTGTTGGATCTTTAGAGAATTTACCCTGATTTCCACAGGTACGACTGCCTCAGTTCCAAAGGCGAATGAGAAAGGAGTTTCTCCAATCGGAGTCCTTAGTGTCGTTTGATAAGCCCATAATACACCTGGGAGTTTGTCCACCCAGAGACCCTTTATTTTTTCCAACCTCGTCTTTAGGTTGTGTACTATTGTTCTGACTATGACCTCTACCTACCCGTTTGCTTGAGGGTGCGCTAGGTTGGAATAAGGCTACTTTATTTGGAGATCGGCGCAGAACAAGTTCAGGAGTTTGTTGTCAAATTGTTTGGCGTTGTCGCTGACTATGGCGTGGGGTACTCCAAAGCGGCAGACCAGGTTCTTCTAAATGAAATTATTGACCTTTGCATCTTTTATCTTTGCTAAGGGTTTGGCCTCCGCCCACTTTGTGAAGTAGTGGATGGCTACTACCACAAACTTGCACTGTCCCTTGCTTAGAGGCAAACGGCCCAAGATGTCGATGCCCCATTTGGAGAAGGGTTATGGACTTGTAATAGCTGTCAGCTCTTCTGGTGGCTGTCTAGGCACAATGATGAAGCACTGTCACTTGTTGCATTTCCTGGTGAACTCTTGGGCGTCCCTCACCATGTTAGACCAGAAATAGCCCTTCTTGAGTGTCTTATGGGCAAGTGAGAGTCCTCTAGAGTGATTTTCACAAACTTCTTCATAGATCTCTAGTTGGGCATAGTTAGCTTCCTCTGGGGAAAGACAGCGTAATAATGGTAGGGAGTAGCCCTTTTTGTATAGGATGTCCTACAAGATAGTGAACTTGGAGGCTCTCATCCTGAGCTTCTTGGCTTCCAACGGGTCATTTGACAATGCATCCTTTTAAAGGTATGCCTTGATTGGGGTCATCCATTTTGTCTCGGCAGATATGCAGTTGACGCTAATGGCTTCCACATCTAGCCTGCTTGGCTTGAATTGGTGATCGATAAATGTTGGTCCTAGTGGAGCTTCAAAGGACGAGGCGAGCCTAGCAAGTGCATCTACAACGATATCGTCTTCCCTCGGGATGTGACAGATCTAGAAGTAGTGGAACTTAGTCAGCAAGACTTGCACCATAGCAAGGAACTCCTACATTTTGGTTCTTTTTGTTTTAAACTCGCCCTACACTTGGTTGACTATCAACTGAGAGTCGCTATAAGTGTTAAGGTATTGGACTCCCATTTTAATTACCAACCTTAAGTCAAAGAGGAGGGCTTCTTATTCTGCCTTATTATTGGAGGTGGTGAAATGGAGCTTCACGGCGTACTTGACGGTATTGTTGTCGGAGCTGATCAGGATTAGGCTAGCTCTACCTCTTTCATTGGTTGAGGAGCCATCCAGGTAGAGCTTCTAGGGAGGTGGTAGAAAGGGGGCCTTGGAGGCCATGGTGGGTGTCGAGGCGCCCACTTTTGGTGCCAGGACTCCTTGGGCGCCCTTGCTGGGCACCAGGGTATCTTGGGAGCCAAGCCTTGACACCTGAGTGTCTGAATGAGTTTTTGATATGGTTTCCTAAGGTGTCAAAGGTCCACTGCCCTCTTCTTCCACCGATGTGAGCTCAGCAACAAAGTTCGCCAAGGCTTGTGCTTTGATGGCTATCTTTGGTTAGTATTGGACATCAAAATTGCCTAGCTTTACTACTTACTTACGAAGTCTTCCCTGGAACTCTCTTTAAAGGCTGATTTGTGACTACAACGATGGTGTGACTTTGGAAGTAATGTCGGAGACATCTTATTGTTGAGATCAGGGCAAGCACTAGTTTTTCTACCCTAAATATCTTATTTATGCTCCTCGATATGCCTTGCTCATATAATAAACAGGCTTTTCACTCCTTCGTTGTCTCTGATGAGTACGGAGCTTACTGTCGATGGGGAAGCAAAGAGGTACAAGTACAAGGTTTCACCTGGAGTAGCATGCGAAAGGAACGAGGGCGTAGCCAAGTAAGCTTTGAATTTTTGAAAAGTCTCTTCTGCCTTAGGTCCCCACTCAAAGGTTTTTCGGAGAATCTTGAAAAAAGGTGAGTACTTATCAGCAGATTTGGAAACAAATCTGTTAAGTGCTACAATTATTCCGTTAAGGTGCTAGAACTCCTTGGTTGTGGTGGGTGATTTTATATCCAAGATGGCTTTGATCTTGTCTAGATTCACCTCGAATCCCCTTTGGTTGACCATGAAGTCTAAGAACTTTCCTAATCTGATACTAAAGGCGCATTTCTCAGGGTTCAGCTTCATTCGGTATTACCTGAGAACATCGAAAGTTTCTTGAAGGTGG